TCGAACCCAGGCCCCCTGCATTGCGAGTGCGAGTCTTAACCACTGCGTCACCAGGAAAGTCCTTACCTTGTGAACTCTTAATCATTTAAAAATATTTAGCTCAAATACTACCTCTGCTATGAACTTTTTCTTGACTTTCTTTTGTGGACAATAGTGGGTTTTTTCTCTATGCTCAAGAAACCTCATAACACACTCCAAAATAATACAGTTACTCTGCTAAAATTGTTTCCATGGACATCGTCTTCGCAATACTGTGTGTTTCTCAAGAGCAGTAACTGTATTCTATTTTTTAAAATCATATTTGCTGTTTTGAATGGTAATTGACCCCTTATTAAGCACTTATTAAATGCTTGTTAAAGGCATGTATGATAGCTGGTAAAAAATCAAACTCCAATATGCAACCTCTCTTACTTAATAGAACAACCCACTGCATAGCTCTTCATAGCTACCCAGGTTGCTATGGTCATACCACTAAGTTCTTACCAATAAGATGTGACTGAACAAAATATGTTTTGTTGCTACTTCCTTGCTACCTCCTTATTAGGATACTGCTTGCTCTTCATTTCCTTTGTCTTTCCTGCTTCCTACTAACTGAGAAATGGTGACAACTGAGCAGTCTTGAACCCAGAGATGAAAACTCATGTTGAAGTTGGCTGAACTTCCCTGACAGCCTGGGAACCTACATAACTAGGTGACCAGACCACCAGACCACCCTACTCTGGGTTGTCATTTTAGAGAAAAATAAATTTCTGCCATAATTAAGCCATAATATTTTGGGGTCTCTTTGTTAGAGCAATTTGGCTTTTACCCTAAGTAATATGGTTAAAATGAAAACTATTTTCTATGATGCTGAAGGCTTATTTTCTTTAGTTTTGTACCATAAAAAATAGTTTCTGTTTTTATTTTGTATTAGGGTACAACCTGAAAATATACCATGAGAAACATTTAAATATTACTTTTAATGATGAGCTTCAAGATTTATCAAATTTCTCAAATCATACTCTAACATTCATTGTCTGTTGAACTCAAATCATAATATAAAACGAAAGCAAAAGTTAAAAAATCCAATTCAGAGTACAGAAACTTTCCTTATAATCTTTAAAAAGGCCCTCTATTCTCAAGACTCTACATTACTCTCAACTTCTGCATCTTCTTTCCAGGCTTAGGAACTAATAATCAGTTTCAGGCTCTGCCTTGCCTCATGTTCTAGGAAAATCTTGCCCTTAGGTAGGAGAGTTGATGGAACTCCAGACCAAGAGACAGGTGTTAATTGCTAGCATGGTATTAATACTTGCCCTCAGCACCAATTCAGATTCTCATACTTTTTATTCTGAAAACCCAATATCCATCCTTCTTTCGGTCTCTGATATCTGCAATAATGTTTTAGAAAACTGAATGGTAACTCAAATACTATAAGACCAGAGTCCCTTCCTTGCAATTCCCAGGGACCTTTGTCAGGATACAGTCCATTGATCCAGATCATATGACAGTGCTTGACCTGCTTATTAGAAATCCCCACTCTTTGGTGATTTTCCTCCAGTAAGGACCACTAGATGTCTATGGGTATAGTCTGTACATATCATCCTTTGCTCATCATGAGGCTATCATTATACCTACAGTCTGGTTTTGTCTCCTATCCCACCCCAGTGTACAATGCTCTCAAATAAAAAAGTCCTTATTTTAGTATGCCTTTGTTCACTGGAGTTAATGGTTCAGTCATGATAATGTCCTGAGATATGACGCTGTTGGTGAATTGCTTTAATTTGTCTCTGCTCTGCATTTCTTGCCTTTTTTTCCTCATAAATTACTCCTTTTTTTCCCCTTTTATTACCAGATTCTCTTAACATCCAGCAAGGCTAGCAATCAAATGTCTCTCTTCTCACTCCTTTTGCCTTTACAGGAGTGGGCATGTGAGGTATGCTGAACATTAAGAGGCCTCCTTTCGCTGGCAACATCAGTTGATCCAAGGATGGGAAAATGGCTTAAGCAAAGCCCCAGTATCTTTTCAGGGACTGATATAGTTGCTAGAGGAGACAGTTTTTTTCCTCTCTCCTTCTGAGATTTCAAGCATAAAGGCATTTAAATCTGGAGATGCTTGATGGCAAAGAAATGAGGAATGGGTACCTCATAACATCTTTTGAACAGACTAATATTGTTTGCTGTTGCTGCCAATAAATATCCAACAGATTTGAGCTGGATTTCTTTTATTTGCAAGGAAAGTAGTCTAGAACAAGGGTTGCAAACGATGACCCCACCATCTGTTTTTGTAACTAGTTTTATTGGAACACAGGTACATCCATTTGTTTACATAGTATCTGTGGTTTCTTTCTCGCTACAATAGCAGAGTTGAGTAGTTGTGCCAGAGATTGTATGGCTCACAAAGCCTAAAATGTTTACTATAGGGCCCTTTACAGCAAAAGTTTGCCAACTTTGGTTGCTTTTAAAATAGACTTTCTTAACGGAACTTTTTCTTTTTGAACAATTTAAAGCATTTTCAAATAGAACTTTTTTTTCTTTTTCCATAAGCACTATGTTTTTTCTGAAGTGGGCAGGATAAAAAAAAAATTATAGCTTGAATGTATGATTCAAAGTGTGGCACCAAATAGTAGGCAATTTTTGTATTGTTGGTTTATGCTTGCATATGCTTTGTTGATTTCTAAGTGACTTCTGTCCATTTGCCTTAGGTATAATCAAGTTAGGTATGCCTTAAGAATTCTATACATTATAACAAGGCATGTACTACAGGTGCAGTTTATTTTTGAGGTGATATTGGCACTTTTTGAAACTTTTAATTAGTAAAACCTATTTATAACTTGTATAATGCATAGTGACCTGACCCATCTAGGGCTGTCCAGTATGGTAGCCACTAGCCACATGTGGCTATTGACACTTGCAATGAGCCAGTCTGAACTGAAATATGCTAATGGTGCAAAATACATAACTGGTTTTAGAGTTACCATGAAAAAAAAGGAATGTAAACTATCTCAGTGATAAATTTTTTAATATTTATTAAATTTTGAAATGAGATTATTTTGGATATATTGAATTAACAAAAATATATTATTGAAACTATTTTTTACTTATTTCTTTCAAACTTTCAAAAAAGTGATACTAAAAAATTAAATTTACATTTGTGGCTCACATATATTTCTATTAGACCATGTTGATCCAGAATTACAGAAACACTTAGAATGACTGAAGATTAAAATAAACTCTTATAACTTTAAAGTATTTTAAATGATTTTTTTAAATGAGTACTTTTGTAGGATAGCATCTTTTTTTTTTTTTTTTTTGCGGTACGCGGGCCTCTCACTGTTGTGGCTTCTGCCACAACACAGGCTCCGGACGCGCAGGCTCAGTGGCCATGGCTCACAGGCCCAGCTGCTCCGCGGCATGTGGGATCTTCCCTGCATCGGCAGGCGGACTCTCAACCACTGCGCCACCAGGGAAGCCCTAGGATAGCATGATGGCATCTTTAATGTTATTATTTTCTATTCTCTAGAGAATAGGAAACAATGAGTATGTTATGAATATGCATGTACTGTTGAGCAAATATTTACAGTTGACCCTTGAACAACACGGGTTAAATGTGCCAACCCCCCACACAGTCCATGTATCCATGTATAATTTTTGACTCCCCCAAAACTTAACTACTAATAGCATGCTGTTGACTGAAATCCTTGCCGATAACATAGTCAATTGACATATATTTTTTGTGTTAATATGTATGATATACTGTATTCTTGCAATAAACTAAGCTAGAGAAAAGAAAATGTTAAGAAAATTATAAGGAAGACAAAATATGTTTATAGTACTCTACTGTATTTATTGATATCATAAGTTTATGTTGTCTGTTTTCAAGATAGTCTGTCAATATCTACATCAATATTGTCTTATATGATACTGTAGATGTTATACGTATTACTAACACTAGATATCAAAAATTAAAAGATAATGTGAAAAAGAAATTCAGTTTTATTTACAGTTATAATGATTCATGCATTGATAAAGAAGAAGCAATATGATTGCTTTATGGTAGCCAGTATAACTGATAGAATTGCTTCACAGTAACCTAGCTTATACACTAATAAATGAATCGTTATAAAAATTTTATGGCAGGGATTTCCCTGGTGGCACAGTGGTTAAGAATCCACCTGCCAGTGCAGGGAACACGGGTTCGAGCCCTGGTCTGCGAAGATCCCACATGCCGTGGAGCAACTAAGCCTGTGTGCCACAACTACTGAGCCTGTGCTCTAGAGCCCATGAGCCACAACTACTGAGCCCAGATTGCCACAACTACTGAGCCCACATTGCCACAACTACTGAAGCCCGCGTGCCTAGAGCCGATGCTTTGCAACAAGAGAGACCCGTGCACCACAATGACGAGTGGCCCCCCGTCGCCGCAACTAGAAAAAGCCCATATGCAGCAGTGAAGACCCAACACAGCCAAAATAAATTAATTAATTTAAAAAAATTTATGGCATACAGTATTAGTCATATTCATAATACAGTATTGGAAATATTGTCACTTTTTTAAAAAAACCACTTACCTTTGATGATAGGCTGATAAGCAGTTTCTCCAATTATGAGAGAGAGGCATACTATACAGTAATGTAATTCTTGGAAAGCAAAGTTTTAAAAGAGTAAGGGACTTCCCTGGTGGCACAGTGGTTGAGAATCCGCCTGCCAATGCAGGGGACATGGGTTCGAGCCCTGGTCCCGGAAGATCCCACATGCCTCCAAGCAACTAGGCCCATATGTCACAACTACTGAGCCTGTGCTCTAGAGCCTGTGCTGCGCAACAAGAGAAACCACTGCAGTGGGAAGCATGCGCACTGCAACGAAGAGTAGCCCCCGCTCACTGCAACTAGAGAAAGCCTGCGTGCAGCAATGAAGACCCAATGCAGCGAAAAATAAATTAATTAAATAAATAAATTAAAAATAAAATAAATGAGTAAGAATACTAAGACATTATTAATTTTATAATAAATATCACTCACCTTAAAATGTGCAGAAAGAGAAGATGCACTCAGGCAGTGTTTCTAGGATGATGGCAGTATGGGAGGAAAACTGAAATGTGCAGGTGAGAGAGAGTAAGAGAAAGATGTGCTATGTGGGAGAACAGCCATAATAATAACAACAACAATAGTAAATTGGAAACTAGAACCAGTGTACAAAGTATACAAATAAAACCAATGAAGCTCCAAGAGTTAAAACCACCAAACCAGAGAGAGCAGAGTCACAGCAGATGTTTCACATGACGATTCAGAACAGGATGACTGACCAAGAGAGCAGAACAAGTGTGAGGTGGAAAAACAGCCCAGACCTGGACCTTTTGGCTCCTGAACTTGAGTCCACACCTTGCGTCAGAAGAATTACTGAGGAGATTGGTTCAAGATTGCGGAGTAGAAGGACATGCACTCACTCCCTCTTGCGGAACACCAGAATCACAACTAACTGCTGAACAATCATTGACAGGAAGACACTGGAACTCACCAAAAAAGATACCCCACATCCAAAGACAAAGGAGAAGCTGCAATGAGATGGTACGTGGGGCGCGATCACAATAAAATCAAATCCCATAAGCACTGGGTGGTTGACTCACAAACTGGAGAACAATTATACAACAGAAGTCCAACCACTGCAGTGAAGGTTCTGAACCCACATCACGCTTCCCAACCTGGGGGTCCGGCAACGGGAGGAGGAATTCCCAGAGAATCAGACTTTGAAGGCTGGCAGGATTTGATTACAGGACTTCGACAGGACTGGGGGAAACAGAGACTCCACTCTTGGGGGGCACACACAAAGTAGTGTGTGCATCAGGACCCAGGGGGAAGGAGCAGTGACCCCATAGGAGACTGAACCAGACCTACCTGCTAGTGTTGGAAGTTCTCCAACAGAGATGGGGGATGGCTGTAGCTCACCACAGGGACAAGGACACTGGCAGCAGAAGTTCTGGGAAGTACTCCTTGGCATGAGCCCTCACCGTGAGCCCTCCCAGAGTCCACCATTACCCCACCAAAGAGCCTCTAGGCTCCAGGGCTAGGTCTCCTCAGTCCAAACAACCAAAAGGGAGGGAACTCAGCTCTACCCATCAGCAGACAAGTGGATTAAAGTTTTACTGAGCACTGCCCACCAAGAAACACCCAGCTCTACCCACCACCAGTCCCTCCCATCAGGAAGCTTGCACAAACCTCTTAGATAGCCTCATCCACCATAGGGCAGACAGCGGAAGCAAGAACTACAATCCTGCAGCCTGTGGAATGAAAACCACATTCACAGAGAGATAAACAAAATGAAAAAGGCAGATGAAGGAACAAGATAAAAACCCAGAAAAACAACTAAATTAAGTGGTGATAGGTGACCTTCCAGAAAAAGAATTCAGAATAATGATAGTGAAGGTGATCCAGGACCTTGGAAAAAGAATGGAAGCAAAGATCGAGAGGATCTAAGAAATGTTTAACAAAGACCTAGAAGAATTAAAGAACAAACACCCAGAAGAATTAAATAACAAACAAACATAGATGAACAACACAATAACTGAAATGAAAAATACACTAGAAGGAATCAATAGAACTGAGGCAGTAGAATGGTTAAGTGACCTGGAAGACAGAATGGTGGAATTCACTGCTGCAGAACAGAATAAAGAAAAAAGAATGAAACAGAATGAAGACAGACTAAGAGACCTTGGGGACAATATTAAACACAACAACATTTGCAATATAGGGGTCCCAGAGGGAGAAGAGAGAGAGAAAGGACCCTAAAAAATATTTGAAGAGACTATAGTAGAAAATTTCCCTAACATGGGAAAGGAAATAGCCACCCAAGTCCAGGAAGTGCAGAGAGTCCCAGGCAGGATAAACCCAAGGAAAAACATGCCAAGACACATAGTAATCAAACTGACAAAAATTAAAGACAAAGAAAAATTATTAAAAGCAACAAGGGAAAAATGACAACGTACAAGGGAACTCCCATAAGGTTAACAGCTGATTTCTCAGCAGAAACTCTACAAGCCAAAAGGGAGTGGCATGATATATTTACAGTGATGAAAGGGAAGAACATACAACCAAGATTACTGTACCCAGCAGGGATCTCATTCAGATTTGACGGAAAAATCAAAAGCTTTACAGACAAGCAAAAGCTAAGAGAATTCAGCACCACCAAACCAGCTCTACAACAAATGCTACAGGAACTTCTCTAAGTGGGAAATATGAGAAGAAAAGGACCTACAAAAACAAACTCAACACAATTAAGAAAATGGTCATAGGAACATACATATCAATAATTATTGAAATGTGAATGGATTAAATGCTCTAACCAAAAGACACAGGCTTGCTGAATGGATACAGAAACAAGACCCATCTATATGCTGGCTACAAGAGACTCACATCAGCCCTAGGGACACATACAGACTGAAAGTGAGGGGATGGAAAAAGATATTCTATGCAAATGGAAATCAAAAGAAAGCTGGAGTAGCAATCCTCATATCAGATAAAATAGACTTTAAAATAAAGAATGTTACAAGAGACAAGGAAGAACACTACATAATGATCAAGGGATCAATCCAAGAAGAAAATATAACAATTATAAATATATATGCATCCAGCATAGGAGCACCTCAATACATAAGACAAATGCTAACAGCTATAAAAGAGGAAATCAACAGTAACACAATAATAGTGGGGACTTTAGCACCTCACTTACACCAATGGAAAGATCATCCAGACAGAAAATTAATAAGGAAACACAAGCTTTAAATGACACAATAACCCAGATAGACTTAATTGATATTTAAGGACATTCCATCCCAAAACAGCAGATTACACTTTCTTCTCAAGCACACATGGAACACTCTCCAGGATACATCACATCTTGGGTCACAAATCAAGCCTCAGTGAATTTAAGAAAACAAATCATATCAAGCATTTTTTCCGACCACGCTATGAGCTTAGAAGTCAATTACAGGGAAGAAAACGTAAAAAACAGGAACACGTGGAGGCTAAACAGTACGTTACTAAATAACCAAGAGATCGCTGAAGAAATCAAGAGGAAATCAAAAAATACCTACAGAAAAATGACAATGAAAACTCGATGATCCAAAACCTATGCGATGCAGCAAAAGCAGTTCTAAGAAGGAAGCTTATAGCAATACAATCCTACCTCAAGAAATAAGAAAAATCTCAAATAAACAATCTACACTTACACCTAAAGGAACTAGAAAGAGAAAAACAAAAAAAACCCAAAGTTAGTAGAAAGTAAGAAAAAAAGAAAGATCAGAGCAGAAATAAATGAAATGGAAACAAAGAAAACAATAGTAAAGATCAATAAAACTAAAAGCTGGTTCTTTGAGAAGATAAACAAAATTGATAAACCTTTACCCAGACTCATCAAGAAAAAGAGGGAGAGGACTCAAATCAATAAAATTAGAAATGAAAAAGGAGAAGTTACAACGGACACTGCAGAAATACAAAACATCATAAGAGACTGCTACAAGGAACTCTATGCCAATAAAGTGGACAACCTGGAAGAAATGGACAAATTCTTAGAAAGGTATAACCTTCCAAGACTGAACCAGGAAGAAATAGAAAATATGAACAGACACATCACAAGTAATGAAATTGAAACTGTGATTAAAAATCTTCCAACAAACAAAAGTCCAGGACCAAATGGCTTCACAGGTGAATTCTGTCAAACATTTAGAGAGGAGCTAACACCCATCCTTCTCAAACTCTTCCAAAAGATTGCAGAGGAATGAACACTCACAAACTCATTCTGTGAGGCCACCATCACCCTGATACCAAAACCAGACAAAAATACTACAAGAAAAGAAAATTACAGACCAATAACACTGATGAATATAGATGCAAAAACCTCAACAAAATACTAGCAAGCAGAATCCAACAACACATTAAAAGGATCATACACCATGATCAAGTGGGATTTATCCCAGGGATGCAAGGATTCTTCAATATATGCAGATCAATCAATGTGATACACCATATTAAAAGATTGAAGAATAAAAACCATATGATCATCTCAATAGATGCAGGAAAAGTTTTCAACAAAATTCAACACTGATTTAGGATAAAAACTCTCCAGAAAGTGAGCATAGAGGGAACCTACCTCAACATAATAAAGGCCATATATGACCCACAGCCAACATCATTCTCAATGGTGAAAAACTGAAAGCATTTCCTCTAAGATCAGGAACAAGACAAGGATGTCCACTCTGACCACTATTATTCAACATAGTTTTGGAAGTCTTAGACACAGCAATCAGAGAAGAAAAAGAAATAAAAGGAATCCAAATCAGAAAAGAAAAGTAAATCTGGCACTGTTTGCAGATGACATGAAACTATACATAGATAATCCTAAAAATGCCACCAGAGAACTGCAAGAGCTAATCAATGAATTTGGTAAAGTTGCAGGATACAACATGCACAGAAATCTCTTGCATTCCTGTACACTAATAATGAAAAATCTGAAAGAGAAACTAAGGAAAAAATCCCATTCACCATTGCAACAAAAAGAATGAAATACCTAGGAATAAACCTACCTAAGGAGACAAAAGACCTGTTCTCAGAAAACTGTAAGACACTGATGAAAGAAATCAAAGATGATACGAACAGATGGAGAGATATACCATGTTTTTAGATTGGAAGAATCAATATTTTGAAAATGACTATACTACCCAAATCAATCTACAGATTCAATGCAATCCCTATCAAATTACCAATGGCATTTTTTACAGAACTAGAACAAAAATCTTCAAATTTTTACAAGAAACAAGAAAGATCCAGAATAGCCAAAACAATCTTGAGGGAAAAAAACGGAGCTAGATGAATCAGACTCCCTGACCTCAGACTATACTACAAAGCTACAGTAATCAAGACAATATGGTACTGGCACATAAACAGAAATATAGATCAATGGAACAGGATAGAAAGCCCGGAGATAAACCCATGCACCTATGGTCAACTAATCTATAACAAAGGAGGCAAAGATATACAATGGAGAAAAGACAGTCTTTTCAATAAGTGGTGCTGGGAAAAGTGGACAGCTACATTTAAAAGAATGAAATTAGAACACTCCCTAACACCATACACAAAAGAAACTCAAAATGGATTAAAGACCTAAATGTAAGACCAGATGCTATGAAACTCTTAGAGGAAAACATAGGAAGAACACTCTTTGACATAAACCACAGTAAGATCTTTTTTGACCCACCTCCTAGATTAATGGAAATAAAAACAAAAATAAACAAATGGGACCTAATGAACCTTAAAAGCTTTTGCACAGCAAAGGAAACTATAAACAAGATGAAAAGACAACCCTCAGAATGGGAGAAAATATTTGCAAATGAATCAAAGGACAATGGATTAATTTCCAAAATATATAAACAGCACATGGAGCTCAATATTAAAAAAAAAACCCAATCCAAAAATGGAAAGAAGACCTAAGTAAGCATTTCTCCAAAGAAGAAATACAGATGGCCAAGAGGCACATGAAAAGCTGCTCAACTTCACTAATAATTAAATAAATGCAAATCAAAAGCACGATGAGGTATCACCTCACACCAGTTAGAATGGCCATCATCAAAAAAATCTACAAACAACAAATGCTTGAGAGGGTGTGGAGAAAAGGGAACCCTCTTGCACTGTTAGTGGGAATGTAAACTGATACAGCCACTATGGAGAACAGTATGATGATTCTTTAAAAAACTAAAAATAGAATTACCATATGACCCAGCAATCCCACTACTGGGCAAATTCTCCAAAGAAAACCTTAATTCAAAAAGACACATGCACCCCAATGTTCACTGTAGCACTATTTACAATAACCAGGTCATGGAAGCAACCTAAATGCCCATCGATAGACGAATGGATAACGAAGATGTGGTACATGTATACAGTGGAATATTACTCAGCCGTAAATAAGAACGAAAATGGGTCGTTTGTAGAGATGTGGATGGACCTAGAGACTGTCATACAGAGTGAAGTAAGTCAGAAAGAGAAAACCAAATATCATATATTAACGCATATATGTGGAATCTAGAAAAATGGTACAGATTAAC